GTGAGTAATGGGCCATTCCCATCTGTACCGGGTCGGCCCGGGCCGGGTAGCGTAGGTTGTTTACATATCTGGGTGGCCTGGTATTTTTCCGGGCCAACCAAGGCTCATTCTCAGCCCCCTTCTCGAGGGGGTCTGCTTTAGACCGACCAGGGCCAACACACCCACTGCTGACAGCAAATTCACACCTTCTATTAGAGCAAGCCTCTGATTGGTGGGTAGAATCAGCCCACATGGGCTTAAGGCAAGGATGTGTGGAATGCAGACAAAAATCAATCACACTCAGAACTTGGTTTCTCCCAGATATGAGGGTTCTGATAACATCACATTACACTACATCATACACTCATCACCTATCGTTTCGTAGTTGTTACGTCTTATAATTTGTTTAGAAAATAAATTTCTTACTTTTTATAAACTTTACTTTGTCCGAATTAATACGAAGTGTACTTATGATCCCTGAATAAACAAAGAATCTTAATTCTTCCAGTTAAATATTCAAGGATCAATCAGGTTGATATTTAATAGTTTTATGGAGTCATCAAATCTTATTGATCATAATTAAAACCCCAAAATACTTCTGTAGACTAACCCTACAGAGGTGTAGGTTATCAGTCAACCTGGACATGATCATCCTGAAAGTTTTAGCTGAAAACAGCTGGACGTTTCTGGATATGTTGGATATTTAGCCTCTCATCCCAGAGGCTTCTTCCAGACTTTGGTTGTGGTCAGAAACAAACACACTGATTATGCTGCATATCTTTTTTATTTCTCCAAAACATGTTTTTGTCTAAATGAAGGTGATGTTATTGTTCATAGAATTAAAATTCATGTACAAGTTAAGATTATTTCATCAAGTAGGACCTGTGGTTAGCTGGCTCATGTTAAACGTGTCATGTCTTCAAAGAATCTGAATCGGGAATCGATAGGAACCAGAATCAAAACGAGGAATTGGAATCGTTCAAAATCAAACAATGCCCAACCCTACTGAGGAGGTAGACCAGTGTTTGCAAAAACACGTCGGTAATGTCCGACGTGTTTTAATGTTGTCCGACGAAGACCTTTAAATCGTCTGACAATTTGGCTGATGTGCCTCTTCCCTGATCTTGCCAAAACAAAATAAACCTCCTGAAAACCACAAATTGACTTAATAATTTGCTTCGATTCACGACAAGTGTTTTTCTCCAATAGTCCACCAGCGATCATCTCTGCAGCAGCTGCCCACAGGAGCGCTTCTTCTGAGCATTTTAATAGATCTGTGCACGGTGCACCGTCCGCAACCTGTAAGTAGCCGTATTACAAACGCGAGGTAACTTAAGATCCTTTCTTATATATTATTTGTACTTAACTAAAACGACGGACAGAATGGCATTTTGTCCTCAACAGCGGTTTACTAGAGTAGTTTAACAAACAGCTGAGATAAACCCACATCTTCAATTTTCAGTTTCACTCTTCAGCCACTGTCTCTTAAAAGAACAGTAACATCAGGTTACATCACTCACAATAATCCCTCATGAACCATCACAACATTTATGTAACGTCCAGCAATGGTCAGTTTTAGGTACTGTTTGACCATTCAACATCTGGTCAAAAAGGAGACACAAGACTGTATGCGTTCCCTTTACATCAGCCTGCCTTCTAGGGCTGTCGCGGTTGAGGAATTCCCCCTGCGGTGATTCAGGGTGGCTTAATATTGCGGTGTGTGATATTATTGCAGCACTTTTTTTTATTGCAGTACTATCTAAACATAATGTTTACACATTTAAAAAAGGTTAAAAATTGCCATGCCTTCTTTTATAACACTTTACTGAATGCAGATCAAAGGGCAGTAACAACACAGATCGCAGTAACGTTTGTTTCTCCGACAGTCGGAGTCCGACTGAACTTAAAAACAACAAAATTCAGGAGAAGGTTAAACTTTTAAATGCAAATTTGGCTGCAGCATCTAACAAATAAGAAACAAGTCCCCATTTTGTTTAGTTGTTTAAAATCAAGCATAAAAAATTACATGTACCGAGCGCGGGGCACTATCATTTCACTTTCACACACACGAATGACGGTGATTTATAGCTCGGTCACGTCCTTGTTACCCACAAGGAAAACCAGCATGTTAACCATATACGGTTTGAGAGAGGATCTGAGAGGGGTGGCAACATTTCCAGCAACACTGAAAACCCTCTCGGATGGTGCGCTCGTTGCACTAACGCACACGTACTTGCGTGCGACTGGCGAGCAAAGGGAATCTCTCCCGGTTGTTGCTCCACCATGTCAGGGGGGTTTCTTTAGGGTGGATGCATTCCTCCTGCAGGTAGCGAGTGAGCTCCAGCTCGGCTCAAACTCTCTTCAGGATGGCTGCAGAAGCAGTGCTTGTCCGGGACTTCAGCAGGTCTCCGAGCATTTATTATTATTTTTTTGCCGCTGGTGGCAGCTCTGTCTCGGCCAAGGACCCTGGCTGCGCAGCAGCTGACGTACTGAAAACCAAAGTGCTCCCAAAGGAGCGAAGTAACGTTTCGTTTTGATACCAGTGCAGCCATCCTTCTCAACATGCATCATTGAGTTGAATCAAGTTCAGTAATCGTGGTGGCCCATGATGCAGCGCGGTGGGCTTCTTCATATTGCGATATTTCATTTTTGCGGTTACCGTGACAGCCCTACTGCCTTCATCCCATCAGCTGGAGTCCCAGACGCGCGGTTCCATCCATCTGTCGTAACCAGAGACATCTCTGGACTGAAGAGTTGGTGCCACGGTATTCTACAGCCCTTCGGTCCCAGAGGACAGCCGACCTCCTTCTGATCCACCAAGACGGTCTCCAAAAATGGGTGAAGTAGACACACAGATAGCGTCTGATGTGCTTTTGATAATAATCAGCATCATAGCTTAACGCAAACCAAATTCTTTTACATCCAGAACTCGGCTCCCCTAGATAAGGAAGTTCTGACTAACACCGCATTCACACATCACATCTAGTTCCATCCATCACAGTAAATGTTAGTTAACTTGTCATGTTTTTAATTGTTGGTAAAATAAATTCTTACTTTTATAAACCTGACTCTTTTCTGAATCAATACGAAGAGTGTACAATCCCTTGATAAATAAAGATTCCGAGAATCTTCTGATAAAAACAGTAAAGACCAAGCAGGTTGATATTCTATATTTAGATAGAGTATCACAGCTTATTGGTCATAAGTAGAGGTCATATATATATAGAGCTCTTAAAGCACTCAATTTGGCAAACCCTACATTTAGTAATATTTTCATATGTATTCTGATGTTTTATAATAATTAATAATAATTATATGATCTCTTAATAATTTCCTGATAAATTCTGTTGGTCTATTATCTAAGCAGAGGGACTGTCTAATCCTAGTTTTCTGAATTTTTCAGAAAATCACATTAATGGTTTTTTTTTTTAACTTAAATTATTTCAGATTGTTGTCACAATGAAACATGTATTATATGTAAAGGTCAGAGATCACTACAATACTCACTGTTAAACAGTTACAAATCTGAAGCCTGTGAGGACATTGTCCTAAAAATGTCCTGCGTGAGACACTGCCACTTCTGCCAGTTTGGCAGGCGTGGATCAAAAGTTTTCACAAACACTGAGGTAGACTTAAGTTTCCTCCCAATTTTCTCAAAGTTGAATTTAACATAAATTTAAGTCACCCTGACTCATGAAACAAGATAATGTTTAGCAAGAACTTCTACAGGCTGACACAGTAAAACAATATTGTTTGTATTTCTTTGACTGTTCAGAGCTCTCCGTGTCACACCCCCCCACCCCCGCAGCAGAGTCCCAACAAGACCTGAAGACTCAAACCAAAATGACCCCAGACTTTAAGCCCAAAACCGGCTCACCAGAGACATCACTACATAGTCTATATTTTTGTATTTTGTTACAACTAATAATAATAATAATAATAATAATAATGCTTCCACTGTGTCTGGCTTAAGGCGCGTCCCCATCTCCCCATATTGTGCGACCATCACGCTCAAATTATTAAATTGGCCAAAATCCAATCCGACCTGTTGGACTTACTCGGTTCGGGCCCGGATCATACAAGCATGGAAGAGCCGCAAACGAGATGCATTCATCCTCATCACTGGTTCAGACAGATTTATCTACATAATTCTGGGCATCATAAAAAAATCCCCTTGCAAGTTCCCTCTCATGGTTAATATTGAAACTGGTTCAAGTGTACAGCCTGCCTCGCTGCATAACACCCCCCCCCCCCACTCCCACGCATTTTCTCATTGGATCTGCATGAATCACTAGGTGACCAAAATCTGATTCAAAATGGTGGATTTTGCCTAAAGGTGAGACATTTTCATGTCTGGAGATGATTCCTTTAGCATTCATGTTGCAAATGTAATTACTGAAACATACTTTGGCTTACAGGAATCATTCAAGTTCATCCAGAAAATGTTTTACTTGTTCACGGAGTTTAACATGCAGGCTCAACATGAAAAATAACCTTCTACCCCCATTTCCAGCATTAGCCTCTGATATAAGATGGATGAGGAAACTCTCCGATTGGAAAAGTCACGTCATAATGTCAGAATGCATTCATGGACTCACCCATCTTGGTCATGATGGGCTGTTGCTGATCTAGCAGCCAGGAAGGAACAGAGAACATTTCAGCTAGTAGAAGCTAACTGTTAGCATTAGCAACTCCAAAACATGGCAGAACTCCTTCAGGCTTGTGTTGTTAGCGGAGATAAAACATCAACGTTGCAAAGCAAATAGTCAGTGGTAGAGTCACGTTGCTGTTAGCTAATCAAGAGGCCAGACGTCCACATATCAGGATATAAGACTCCTGCCCTGGCTCACTTCTAGTTCCTGACACAGAAGCACCAGTGCTTTATTCCCCACAAGCAATGTGTTGAAAAAATGGGTGAACTTGATCTTTAAAGCCCTTTCTCAGACATTCAGCTTTGTGAACGCCAATATTTTATAGAAGAGTTTTACTTTCTTTGATAAATACAAATTATGTTTGCTAACTTGTTCTGCTCGCTCCAAGATGGGAATCAGCTCTGGGGCCATCCTCCAGTTTTCTCTGGTTAAGAGAGTAATGGCAGCACCTGTTCGCCTGGGTTCAAAAAACAACAAAATAAATAAATAAAACAAACAAAGTTTTCAAGCATGAATCTATTTGTAATTAAAGACAGGCACACAACCATTACCCTGCTCGGCCTGTACGACCCACACGATGGACATACTCCTCTATGTTCCGTGGGAAGTCATAGTTAAAGACATGTGTGATGTCATGGACGTCCAACCCTCGAGAAGCCAGGTCTGTGGCGACTAGGATGCGAACCCTGCCTGGAAAAATGATAACTCTTGAATCATAGATCATTTAATTATTGTCAAATTTAGAAATACCCAAGATTTAAAAAAATCCAAGTTTAGTTTTATTTCAAAGCTTTTGTTACATACTCTCTTTAAAATCAGCAAGTGCCTCTTCACGGGAACTCTGCTCACGGTCACCATGGAGACACTGCACAGCGATGCCTTGCAGAGCAATGTCACTTGATAGATCATCAGCTCTGCATTTGATTGTAAAGGGAAACAAGGTGATTTAAATGTCTGCTGATTTGGCTCAATTATTAAAAGTCATTATGAGTCAGAACATCATCTAGACGAGCGGTGGCCCCGCCCCCTACTCACAAGAGCTTCTTGCCCACAAAGACCAGGACTTTATCGTGGGGCTGCATGCTTCTTATGAAGTCAAACAGATAGGACTTTTTCTCCTCTTCCTGAACAATAAGCAGTTTTTGCTGCACCGTGCCGACAGCCTGATACAAAAAGCAACGAAAGGAAACACATTAAACCACACATTTCTCTTCTAAAATGCATCCAGCTTCCTCTTACAGCCAGGTCCAGGGTGCCCACGTAAACCATCATGGGATTCTTCAGGTAGGATTTGGCCAGTCTTCTCACACCTGTGGGCCAAGTGGCGCTGGATCATGAGTTAAGAAAATTAAAGGAAAATCAGAAAAATGCCAGGACGATTTTCTGCATTCTACAAACAAAATAAGTTGGATTTTATTTAAAGCCTCAGACATTTTAGTTATAGCACTTTAAGAACATGAAAACTAATATTCTAGAAATGTTTGCTATGAGAGGAACCCAAGCTTCTGTTGATCATTAGGGCTGTCGCGATTGAGGAATTCCCCCTGCGGTGAGTCAGGGCAGCTCAATATTGCGATATGCGATATTATTGCACCTCGTTTTTATTTATGTACTTAGCAAATTTGTTTGTTAATTACTAAACTCATGGCAATATTTCCTTTGAAACATTGTGCTTACACATTTAAAAAATGTTAGAAAAAAAATACATGGCCATTTTTAACACTTTATTGAATGCAGATCAAAGGGCAGTAACGGCATTCTCTGACTGAACTTAAGAACAACATTCAGGAGGTTTAACTTTGAAATGCAAATTTGGCTGCAACATCTAACAGAAATAAAAAAAGTGCCCTACTATCTCCTCGATCAGCGCGGACTTTACCTCTCAGCATGCGCTGTCGCGAGATTTAATCAAGTGCGGTAATTGCGGTGGCACGTCATGCAGCGAGGTGGGTTTCTTAATATCGCGATATATTGTTCTTGTGATTATTGTAACAGCCCTATTGATCATTTTAGTTGTGATATCAGAAACTATTAATAACACTCATTTTGATGCTTTAGAGCAAGTGCTTGTCCATTAACAAGGTCATGGAATTCAGATTTCGGCTGAATGAGAAACATTCAGATATTTATGGTCTGATCTTGTATAATTGCATCAGTTTACTTAGCCGGCCTTTCCACCGGAGGCATTAATGGTGCAAAATCAGTCGTTGTGTGTGAGTTTCCATCAGCTGCAAAGCGTCACATTTTGGATGTGTCCCAGGCTAATGGTGTCATGTTGCTCCGGTAAACATATGCTTCTCGTCTGTTCTTTTCAAGTTATGCTTCTAGAACGCATGGAGATCAGAACAGATAGCAAGTCAAACTCGAAAGCAGCACAAGACACATGGCAAACACAACAGAATATAAACCACAGTTTTTTTAAATGCATGCTGCCGTCTTGTCATTACATGAACTGGTGAATTCACGTGTGATCTTGCAATTCTCCCGAGATTTCATGACCTCGCAGGACCAGCTGTATGGAAAGCCTTTGCTGCTGTTTTGCATCTGAAATGCTCCTGTAGGGAAGGGACGTGGTGCTGAGCTGCCAGGTAAACTCCAATCCAATCCAATTTATTTATAAAGCAACAATAAAAAACAACTATGTGTACCATAGGGCTGCAACGATTCCTCGACAAATATCGCCAAACGTGTTTTTTCCCACGGAGTGAGGCATCTCACTTCATGACAATCTCTGCCGAGAGCCGCACATGCACAATAGCTTCTCTGCTGAGCGCCAACTAACAGAAATGGCGGCGTCTGACACAGCAGCTACGCGTACCACAACATCTAAAGTTTGGGAGCATTCCAGCCTGGATTCGGCGAATAAAAAGATTACCTGCATTATTTGCAAAGCAGTCCTTGTGTATCAGGACAGCACCTCGATGCATGAACACTTAAAGAGAAAGCACGTCGGACAGTTGATTGAAACAGTCTGACTCACCTCGGTAAGATTTAAATAACACGAAAGCCGATACGTTTTGTTTTGGATGTAAACTGTATATTTTTTAAATGTATTTTTGCTTATAAAAAAGAGAGATTTAATGTTATGCCTGACTGTGTCTGACTAAAGTATTTTAATTTTATTTATGCATTTATGTCTGCACTGACTGGGCACTGAGCCTAATTGGTGTTAGACTGGCCATTTTAATTTGCTTTTAGTATGAATCAGTAGCAAAGTTCAATAAAATATGCATTTTCCATTGAAGTACCCATCTTTCTTGTGTGTATTATCATTTTTCACACAATTAAAGCAATCTCATGCTTAATTTAAGAAAAATTTAATAATTATCCGATTAGTCGACCAATCGTTTCAACAGTCTGTGACCAGTCGACCATTAAATAGTCGTTAGTTGCAGTCCTAGTGTACCAAAGTGCTGTACAATAAAAACAAATAAAAAGAAACAACACAGTTTGCAGCAATCCTGTAAAACGTCACATTAAAAACTAACCAACTCAATGGGAGGCTGAATAAAAAAGGTCAGTCTTTAGGCTAGTTTTAAACACAGTAAGGGAATCTGCCTGTTTGGTGTCTAATATGTTACGTGATGCTTATACGTCCGATGGAAAGGCCTGGTTAGACGCTGAACTTTAACATGAGACTCCCACTGATTACATGTTTTTTTTATACTCATGGGATCAGATCGCTTCAGCACAAATCTTAGAGGAGTCTTTCACCTGGTCATAACAGTCTGTCGGTCCGGACGTACATCCAGAAGAATCTTCAGGATCTGGGGTTCGAAGCCCATATCCAGCATGCGGTCAGCCTCATCCAACACCTGTTGCCATCGGAACAAAGACACCAAATAGAAAAGGTTTTGTGTGAACAACCAAAAGTCATAAATGTTTAAGATTTAGTTAGGGACTTGTTTGTACGTCTGACCACATAAGTGATGGAGCGAAGATTGATGAGGTCATTCATCTGTAAATCGTTCAGACGTCCTGGAGTAGCGATCACAATATCCACGCCGCTCCGAACCAGGTTGATCTGGCCTCTCCTGTCACCTCCTCCATAAATACAAATACTGAAAAGCAAAGATCAGCAGGAAATATTAAAATTGTTAAATAACAAGTAGCAGACATGAATATCGTTACCTTTTGTATCCCTTGTACTGGTACTTGCTGCACTCCGCTTCAATCTGGAGGGCCAGCTCTCTAGTGGGAGTCAGCACCAACATGCCTGGACCGTCCTGCTCAGATCTCGGTCTATAATTGCAGAACAAAAACACAGAAAAGTTTTATAACCAATAGGTAAAGCAATTTTGCCGTTTATGAAGAGAAAACTGGATTGAAAATGAGAAAACCATTAACTCACACAGGCTGCCCGTCCATGTGGATGAACCCTGGCAGCAGGTAAGCCAGAGTTTTCCCCGTTCCTGTTTGAGCTATCGCTATCAGGTCCTCCCCAATGAGGATTACCGGCCATGCCTGAGACTGGTTAAAATAAAAGGTTATAATATCCTTCTCTGGGTTTTTACACTTTTGTCAAAATCTATTTCAAGCCAAGTGAACATTTGACATTTCCAAGCACCTTACAGTGGCAAGGACTTCCAAAACAAACATGGGTAGTGCATATTTGCTCTAAACCAGGGGTCGGCAACCTGCTCCCATCAAAGAGCCATTATTACCCGTTTCCCACGGTAAAGAAAACACTGGGAGCCACAGCAGCCGCGGCGTTGTGGGCGGGGCCTACCCTCAGACAGCAGAGAGCTGCTTTAACCAATCACAACAGGTGACAGCAGCCAGTACCGGTCGCTCGTGTACGTCAAAGTTATCTTTCATAAGACGATAATCAATAAAATGACTTATATAAAGTGGATCCAGAAGTAGTAGCCCGTCTCTGCCTACAATATTTTGATATTTTTCACCCCGTTGGTGGTTTTACTGAGCAGGTGCCACTTTTGTCATACGTTTCTTTTTAAAACATGTTTAGACTGTTCAGAATACAAATCCAGGCTCTGTCACGTTTGATCGTTGTAATTAAACTTTGTAGGTGGGGAAGGTCAGAAAAGGATCCGATCAATTTGTTTTTCCCTCATTTACAATGACGGAGATAACGGTGCAGTGCGCCCGGCTCTGGTGTTAATCAAGTTAAATTATATCTCTTTGCAACAATTTTCACAAGAAAACAGAACAGTTAAAAGCAGGGCTTGTGTTGACCGGATAGTTCCCGTTTTTGACCGTTTATTTTGACGGAGAAAGAATAGAAAGAATTACCCCGACGCATGCAGAAAAACTGGCACTTTATTCGTTTTGCACATTGCAGATGTAGCTAAATCACTCAAGAAATGATTCCCATCTGAACATCTGAGCTGGACACTGCTCAGCGCAGCTCACTGTCAGCGTGTACTACATAAGGTCCACAGCGAGCTGTGGAGAGGGGCTTGGAGAGCGTCGCAGAACCAGAGCACATGCGGGAAGATTCCTCCGACTGAAGCGAGACTTGTCAGTTAGAAAATGTTCCCTGATCATGAAACTTTGGCTGAATAGTGCTTGTTCCTGTCTCCAATGTGGCGACACATCCAGGATCTGTCTGAGGAGAATCCCAGAATCTCATATCCTCTTCAGCTCAGAAGCGCATATGATTATGCACAAGCGTGACGCGTCAACCCGGTCTCACAGCAAGACCGGGTTGGAACTGTTCAGGTTTACGCAGGCAATCTTTACATTTAGAATTGGCATACAGATGTAAAATTAATGCAGTAAAATATAAAGCATTTTATTTAAATATCCATTCATTATTTTACAAGCACAGAGAGCCGCATCAGATGGATGGAAGAGCCGCATGCGGCTCCAGAGCCGCGGATTGCGGACCCCCGCTCTAAACAATACAATAAGTTCTTAGGCTCATTTAAAGGAAAATAATTTAGTTGTAATATGTTTATCTTTAGGTTTCTGCCTTCATGGCTGGAGAAGATTGGGCAAGGTAGGAATGACAAACAAAACGCAGCTGATTTAAATCTACCATGACATCACCATTATTTTTTTTGGTGTACATATAAGGAAAACTACATAAATGCAGAATCTAATTCTAAAATATGCAACAGAGACACCAATCATCAGATTTAAACAAAAATCTGAAGTCATCAATCTCAATTGAGCTTGGCAGCCACTATTCTGCAGGTATCAGGAAGATTAGAGGGTTTTAGGAAGTTTTAAAAGCTGTTTTTGCAACTATTCTGTTTCTATTTGAAAATGCCGACCACATATTTATTTTTTGAGAAATGAAAGTTAAATGTGAAAGAGGGATTACAGTTTTATTTCCTCTCACCGTAAACTGGTTAATAACTCTGCACAAACACGCCTGCAGAGTAATAATCAGTTTATCTATGAAAGTTTATTCCATTTTAAATCGGATTTAACCTCAGACCTCATTAATATTAGGGCTTATTTGCAAATGTACTAGTTCTCACGAGAAAGCCACACCAAGATGGGCAGATGTCACGCCTGCCATCGTATTGTGGCGTGTTTCTTTTTATGTGTGCAGGTACTGTTCTCCGACTGTCGGCTGATGGCTTTTCTCCTGAAGCTCCGGTGGATTCCTAACTGGGATTGGTTCAGTTCTGGCAGACACGTAACGAGCTTTGTATCTGTGAGGAGGACTTCACCTAGTGGGTGTTTGTGGGACTCGAGTAACAGTGAAGTAAACAAATGGGTAACTGAGAAATTCCTCCTTAAAAGAAGTGTGTAAAAAAATAAATAAAGATTCAGCACCCCTTCGTACAAAAAGAGGGAAGTAAAAGACAGAAGTTAGAATGTGAAATGAGTCAGTGAAGGGAAGTGATAGTGAAGCTTTCATGGTGAACATGTGATTTACCAGAAACGATGAATGATCACTTAATAAAGATCATGCTCAAGTGCTTATCAATAAAATCAGTTATGTCTACAGAAAAACACAAGTACTCTGTTTACTCAGCAGTCTGTGTCTTTATATGTTCATTTTCTTTTTTACAGCAATTAAAAATATTGATTTAAAAAATAAGAAAGCGGGAAGGATTACCCATCAGGGTCATTATCAGGGTATGTCCACCTCTCATGGGGTTTTCCATCCCACCTATTACAATATCTAACCTATTACAATATTTAACTGCAGAGTGAACACCTCACCCACTAAGCGTAGAAGTTTAATGAACGTGATTGGATAAGTTTTCTCAGGAAAAGTTATTTGTTCATGAGCAACTATAAAAGTCCTTAGTTTCGTCAGACAACGTTTTTAATTCTCAAAGGAATTCCCTCTTTTGACACCAGCAGGTCTTAAAGCACATTTTCTCCTCATAATGTCTCAAAATAAACGAGTCAGAGATGTTCCAAAGGAAAAAAGGTTGAAAAACAAAATGTAATTTCACGTGAAGCTATTTTTGTGTAAGTGCCTGCCTCTGGAGCTGCTGTGGTGGATCTTACACCAGCCAGGAATTTTATAAAAATTTCCATCTTAGCTGAAAACAGGGTTTGTCTTTAGGAAATGAAACTGGACAGATGAAAGATTCACACCTGGATAGGGGTTGGCTTGGCAAAGCCAACTTGTTCAATGTTTTCCATGATCTCTGGGAAAAGCTCAAAGGCCTCCAGAAATGTGCGACAGGGACTAGGAATGGGACGCTTCGGCCCCTCCTCCTTCAAGTCATCCACAAAGATATTGTTGTTTTCCTTCCTGTGGAAAAATGTAAGAAACAAAAACATGATCCACAGATAAATGGGAGGAAAATGAACAAATAACTTCTGCGTTTATAGGCAGAACTTTTAAAATAGTTCACAGTTTGTCATTATTTACAAGCTAAAAATATTACTTTTCATATTTCCAGCAACATCTAAAATGTAATAAAAAGAAAATCATGTATAAAAAATTATGCAAACGTTTGTGTATTGCAATGAAATTGTGACTTTTATAAAGCATTATAATTACCTCCACTCACTGACTTCCTCAGGAGAGAGCACGGACACACTTTCTGCTTCAGTGTAAAAGTTCTTCTTAATGGGTGGTAGGTCTGAGGAAAAATGCAAAAATATTATTAAAAAAAATGGGCTGCATGGCATGGTGGCGCAGTGGTTAGCACTGTTGCCTCGCAGGTTTGAAACTCGGCTGCGGCCTTTCTGCGTGGAGTTGCGTGTTCTCCCCATGCATGTTGGGTTTCCTCCGGGTACTCCGGTTTTTCCACAGATCACAACATGCCCAATAGGCTATAAATTGTAAGTCGCTTTGGATAAAAGCATCTGCTAAATAAATGAACATAAACAAATGAACAAAAAAAAACAAACAAAATAAATCTGAGCTGGGATAAAGTCTTCTGGAAGTTTCATATGTGGAGCTTAAGGGGGCCCAACACGACTAATGGGCCATTCCCATCTGTACCGGGTCGGCCCGGGCCGGGTAGCCCCAGTCGGCCCCAGCCTGGCCCGGTTGATTCCACACATCCTTGCCTTAAGCCCATGTGGGCTGATTCTACCCACCAATCAGAGGCTTGCTCTAATGGAAGGTGTGAATTTGCTGTCAGCAGTGGGTGTGTTGGCCCTGGTCGGCCTGAAGCAGACCCCCTCGAGAAGAGGGCTGAGAATGAGCTTTGGTTGGCCCAGAAAAATACCAGGCCACCCAGATATGTAAACAACCTACGCTACCCGGCCCGGGCCGACCCGGTACAGATGGGAATGGCCCATACACTTACCATATAACACATTAAACAGTAGGGTTGGGCATCGAGCATCGACTGGAACCGGTTCCAACTGTTAGTTTTTCCCGGAATCGTTAAAAGTTTTTCATTTCGATTCCTAGTTTCGATTCCTAGAATGCCGACCGGAAGAGGAATCCACAGCTGATCTCCGTGGAAAATAAACGTGATCTGCAAATTGTGATGAACGCTTTTCAGAGCTGATCACACCAGAGTCCCCCCTCCCTGCCAGCGGCCAAATATAAACAAAAGCGTCTGCCGAACCTTTGCTCCGTAATGTAAACTTTACTTCCTGTAGAGGAAACTTGTTAAAATACGTCAACACGGTGGATTTAATAGAAGCTTTAAAGAACAAACTCCAGACAGTGTGAGGTGCGTTTGTCTCACTGCAGAAATAACAACACACAACAACACACACGGAGCGTCAGCAGTCAGACGCAGCCGCTCACCAATGCATGTGTGTGAGCGTCAGAAGGCTGAACTATAACCTGCAGAATAATTAAAGTCATCATGCTAGAGCAGCTTCTCTGTGGTGGACCACACCAGCTTTTGCCACAATAATTATAATATTAATAAATCACACAAAAAGTTGTGAAATTTCCTTTCTGAACTATTTCTGTTGAGAGTTTTAATGTTTAAAATCAGTTAGATTGCTACTGACAGCAGCTACATTTAAGTTTCACTTTCTGTTCTAACTTGCTGCAGCATGGAGATGTAGTTCTCAGCCATACTGGACATGATCATCCTGAAAGTTTTAGCTGAAAATAGCTGGACGTTTATGGATATGTTGGGAGACATTTAGCCTCTCATCCCAGAGGCTTCTTCCAGACTTTGGTTGTGGTCAGAAACAAACACACTGATTGTGCTGCAAGTCTTTTTCTTTTATCTCCAGAACATGTTTTTGTCTAAATAAAGGTGATGTTATTGTTCATAGAATAAAAATTCATGTTGAAGTTAAGATTGTTTCATCAAGTAGGACCTGTGGTAAGCTGGCTCATTTAAAACATGTAACGTCTTGAAAGAATCGGAATCGATAGGAACCGGAATCGAAACGAGGAATCTAATTTCCCTCTGGGATTAATAAAGTATTGATTGAATTGGAATTGGAATCTGAATCGTTCAAATTCAAACGATGCCCAACCCTATTAAACAGTAAGGTTTATTTCGTGGTGTCACAAATTTATGGCTACTTTATTCACTAAAAGTCACCACAGTATAGTGTGGAAGCCAGCACAGAGCTGGCAGCAAGACCCAGGACACTTTTCAACGGGGGATCACATTTAAATATTTAGACATTAGGAATGTGTACTGGTGAAAATCTGGCGATACGATATGTATCACAATATATTACGATTCGTTCAGCCAGACGATATTAGCGATTTTTTTAGACTGAAATTATTGTAGGAAAATTCAATAAACAGTCCAAACTGACTGGTTTTTGGGACATGGAACGTCACCTCGCTGGCGGGGAAGGAGCAGGAGCTTGTGGCAGAGGTTGAGCGGTACCGGCTAGATATAGTCGGACTCGCCTCGACACATAGCATTGGCTCTGGAACCCAAGTCCTTGAGAGGGGTTGGACACTCTCCTTTGCTGGAGTTGCTCCGGGTGAGAGGCAGAGGGCTGGGGTTGGCTTTTGTTAGCCCCAAGACTGTGTGTTGGGGTTTACCCCGGGGGACGAGAGGGTAGCTTCCCTGCGCCTTCGGGTCTGGGAACGGTTCCTGACTGTTGTTTGTGCTTATGGGCCAAATATCAGTTCAGAGTACCCACCCTTTTTGGAGTCCCTGGGACGAGTAATAGATAGTGCTTCAACAGGGGACTCCATTGTCCTGCTGGGGGACTTCAATGCTCATGTGGGCAATGACAGCATGACCTGAAGGGGTGTGATTGGGAGGAACGGCCTGCCTGATCTGAACATGAGTGGTGTTTTGTTGTTGGGCTTCTGTGCAAGCCGCAGTTTGGCCATAACAAACAGCATGTTCAAACATAAGGATGCCCATCGGTACACTTGGTACCAGGGCAGCCTAGGTCGCAGGTCGATGATAGACTTTGTAGTCGTATCATCTTACCTGCGGCCGTATGTTTTGGACACACGAGTGAAGAGAGGAGCGGAGCTGTCAACTGATCACCACCTGGTGGTGAGTTGGATCAGATGGCAAGGGAAGATGCCGCGTAGACCTGGCAGACCCAAACTCATAGTGAGGGTCTGCTGGGAACGCCTGGCAGAAGAACCTGTCAAGACAGTCTTCAACTCCCACCTCCGGCAGAGCTTTGACCGCATACCGAGAGCAATGGGGGACATTGACTCCGAGTGGGCCTTGTTCCACTCTGCGATTATTGAGGCGGCTGTTGCTAGCTGTGGTCGCAAGGTGGCCGGTGCCAGTCGTGGTGGCAACCCCCGTACCCGCTGGTGGACACCAGAGGTTCGGGGAGCCGTCAGGCTGAAGAAAGAGGTCTACAGGGTGTGGCTGGTCTATGAGTCTCCGGAGACAGCAGACAGGTACCGGATAGCCAAGCGGGGTGCAGAAGTGGCAGTTGCCGAGGCAAAATCTTGGGCGTGGGAGGAGTTTGGTGAGGCCATGGAGAAAGACTATCGATCGGCTCCAAAGAGGTTCTGGCAAACTGTCCAGTGCCTTACCCCCAAATTCCACTACCTCCGCTCCGCCCCCGCCTTCCGCAGCCGCTCGTTTCCGAACTCAATTTTTACTGGTACCCACTCTACAACGGCTCCGCTGCGGTGCGGAGACCTGAGGTGGGCAAACAAGCATGCGCGGGATTTTTGAGATCTTGCGATACAGTCCGAGCAATAAACGCGGAAGTTAGATCCAAACACCCGTTGTGTGGGAGAAGCATCGGCATGAACTGTTTAATCTGCCCATCATTTGTGTTGAGAGATCAGCAGTGTTTGGATCAACAAAGTGTGACTACTTTGATAGTAGAAACTGTATTTATGGCTTACTTTTGTGCATTTAAAGTTCAGCCGCCATTGATAGTTGTTAAACCTGTGCATATGAAACAAAAAACGCCTTTTGTTTATCGATTTATTGTAAAACGGAAGTTGTGCTTGCTCCTTTTCCTGTTGGGCAGTTGCGATTTCTGTCCATTTACTGCGGATGTGCTCCGGCGTCCGGCGAAAATAGGATAGATTCTATTTTTGCCGGACGCTGGAACAGAGGGCGGCGCACGGCGCCGCACTGCCGGAGCACAGCCGCAATAGTGGAATTGCTCTGATTGACTACAACGGGACCGATTTTGCTCCGGCCTTCATGTCGGAGCGGAGCGGAGGTAGTGGAATTTGGGGGTTAGAAGGAGGCAGCAACTCGCTCACACCGTTAACAGTGGGGATGGGGAGCTGCTCACATCAACTGAGGCTATAGTCGGACGGTGGAAGGAATACTTTGAGGAGCTCCTCAATCCCACCTACGCGCATTCCGAGGAGGAACCAGAGCCGGGAGACCTGGGGATGGACTGTCCAATCTCGGGGGCAGAAGTTGCTGAGGTAGTCAAACAACTACACAGCGGCGGAGCCCCGGGTGCGGATGAGATTCATCCTGGGTATCTCAAGGCTATGGATGTTGTAGGGCTGTCGTGGTTGACACATCTCTGCAACATCGCATGGTCATCGGGGCAGTTTCTGTGGAGTGGCAGACCGTGGTGGTGGTCTCCATCTTTAAGGGTGACCTGAGGATGTTTTCCAACTATTGGGGGATTACACTCCTCAGCCTCCCTGGAAAGGTCTACTCCAAGGTACTGGAGAGGAGGGTCCGATCGATAGTTGAATCTCAGATTGAGGAGGAGCAATGTGGTTTTCGTCCTGGCCGTGGAACTGTGGACCAGCTCTATACCCTTGCAAGGGTGATGGAGGGAGCATGGGAGTTTGCCCAACCAATCCACATGTGTTTTGTGGATTTGGAGAAGGCTTATGACCATGTCCCCAGGGGCACCCTGTGGGGGATGCTCCAGGAGTATGGGGTGGGTGGCTTTCTGTTAAGGGCCATTCAGTCCCTTTACCAGAAGAGCGTGAGTTTGGTCTGCATAGCCGGTATTAAGTCGGACCTGTTCCCGGTGAGGGTTGGACTCCGCCAGGGCTGCCCTTTGTCACCGGTTCTGTTCATTATCTTTATGGACAGAATTTCTAGGCGCAGCCGTGGTGTGGAGTGTGTCGAGTTTGGTGGCTGGAGAGTCTCGTCTCTGCTTATTGCGGATGATGTGGTCCTCCTAGCTTCATCCAGCTCTGACCTTCAGCTCTTGCTGGGTAGGTACGCGGCCGAGTGTGAAGTGGCTGGGATGAGGATTAGCACCTCCACATCTGAGACCATGGTTC